TTATTACCTCTTTCTTTAACTCCCTTAATTGGATTTTCTTTCACCGGGACGGTGCAAGTTAAGTCTGGGGGGATTGTCGGTACTAATGTGTTTGTTCATGGTTGTTTTGATCTTATAATTGGTTTTTCCTAACCCACTTTTTCAAAACTTCTGTTTTATTGAGTCAAAACCAGTCCGGGAACAATGAACTTGCTTTGAGATTTGATAGTGTTATGCTAACAATCTATGACCCTAGAGCAAACATCAGCTGAAGGCACAAGCCTAACAGAAGCTCCTAGAGTGGATCGGCATGCTAGCTCAGCGAAATTTCTAAGGTAACCAAGCAATCTAGAGTTAACCTCACCCTTAATCAATCTTAATAACTCTTGTCAAGGGGATTGGCATACATGTCGACAGTTCCTTGCTTGATTTTCAATGAGATTTGTCTAAAGAGTTCACCTCTCTCTCCCATCCCAAATGGTAAGTAATGTTTATGAGAAAAGCTCAAAGAGCACAAGGAAAACAAGTAAGCATGAGGAATGCATATGTCTGTACCTTCATGTCTTATGGAATACCTTATCAAACAAGGAACAAGCTAAAGACTTATCCTGTGGTTGAAAGAAAGGTCAATAGAAAAAATAAAATGATACCCTAGAAAAGTAGGGAGAAATTGACCTTTCAAAGTTCTGATGTGAGAAAGAGAGAGGAAAGGAACTCATTGCACTTCAAAGACAATCTTGGAGAAGATCAAGTGGGTAAGAACAAGTTCAATTGATCGATTTTCCCTTGATAAAGAACTCACGTTTTAAATTTCTGCAAGAGGTTAACAATAGAGAGTTTGGATTGCTGGATGAGACTAGTTGGGTTGGTATTGTTGCTAAACTTGCAGGGTGTATGTGAAGCTAACCTTATGTTGACTATGTTCTTAGTGGAATACAGGAAAGGAACCTTTCACAGGATTTTCAAAGAAGCAAGAGAGTTCCCACGTTTTTCAAAACCTCTTCACTAGTTTAGATTGCTTTCTAAGTCTGGGGGAGTTGATATACCTCTATTTTACCTACTTTTTATGCTATTTTACTATGGTTTTCTAATGGTTTTCTAGTGGATTCTTGTGTTAAAAGGTAGTTTTTATGGATTTATAGTGCAAAGAGTCATTTTAGGTAAAAAGGTGCATTATGGAGCAAAACAGAGATTTGGACTCTAAACCAGTTCAATGCCCCTGCATCAACTTTGGATGGAGCTAGAAAAAGATCTACTCAATGGATTTCATCAAGACCAGTTCCCTGCGTGCTCTGATTGAGTTAACTTTCCAATGCAAGTGGAACGGCCTAATTTGGATGAGTAGAAAAGGAGTTATAGCCAAAAGAGTGAAGACTGCTCCAGACGGCCATATCGAGAATCAGCGCCCGAACGCGCAGTCCGGCTGGCCGAGGAACGAATGTTCCGCGCTCGGCCAAACGTATTCCGTCCGACTGAAGTCTCGGCCAAAGTTCCAACCACTCGGCCGATCACACATCACGACCCGGGAAACAAGTCCCGCGGTCGGCCAAGCCACGCCACAACCGCGCACGACCAGCGCGCGAGCCGGGAGAACGCCTCGCGGCCGCGCAACCCTCACGTACCGGCCGACATCCGTCCGAGCCGGGAACTATGCCCACGTCCGGCCGAAGACCATCGGCCAAATCTATCCGCCGACCACAGCCGGCCGACCGAAATCATCCGGCCACGACCGTTCCGACTCGGCCAAGACCCGACTGTCCGGCCGATCGTCCCGACCGACCGTCCGAACGCCGCGGTCGACCCGAAGCCGTTTTTGAAGCCCAATCCGCACAATTCAAGCCCAAAGCCGGCGCCGACCTAGCTAGATTAGGTTTAGCCGCTTTCATACTTAGAGCATTATAAATACTTCTTTTTAGCCTTGTAACTCAAGAAGGAGAGAGACCACAATCTATTTTACATCTTAATAAAGTTTTGCTTGCTTTTACTTTGTTCTTGCTTGTTACTCTTTCTAGAGAGGATTCGAATCTCTGTTCTTATGAATATGAATTCGTGTTCCTTCTCTATGTCTGAGTAGTTTACTTGTTAAGTGATAGGAAGTCAAAGGATAGCATTCATGTATGCTTGATGATTGATCACAATTAGGGTTTTACTTATAATCTCCATCTTTGCTTATACTTAATGCTTGTTGTTAATCTGGCCAATTAGCATATGCCTTTAGGTTGATTTGAGCCTCGACAGTGCTGTATCATTCGCCTGAACTAGTATTTGGTGGGCAATCTCTTTTAGACTGCGAAAGTTGATCTACTTGTAGGTTGTGAACAATTGATCTTGATCGAACTAATGCTTGATTTAATCACCTAGGGACATACCAAAAGTTTAGCGACTAGGTAGATTAACAAAGGGGTCGGAGCCTCGACAGTGGAATGATCATACCATAGTGTTTCAAGTTCTAGATTAGCACCTAAGTGCGGTAACCCTAATTGATTGATTTCATGCTTCTTGAATTGCTTATCTCAAGACTATCCTATTGCTTAGCCTTTCTCTCCTATTGAATTCTCACTTTCTTTATTACTTGCATGCTTTACTTTCTCTGCACTCAACCAACTTATACTTTTGCCCTAGCTTGTTCTCAAACTCATACTTGTAGTGTGCAATCTGGTCCTGTGTTCGATACCCGTTTACTACTTCTGACCTGTGCACTTGCAGAATCAGGGATAGGAAAGGGGAAGACCTGATCCCGCGATCAGGGGGTAGGTGTCATCATCAGGTGGTGTTGGAACATAAAGCATCTGACTCGATCGAGCTGGTAGAGTCTGGACTCGATCGAGCTGCCAATCGAGCTTGTGTGAGCTCAACTGGTGAAGCGTGTGAATGGCTACTGAGGAGCATGCACTTCTGGTTGATCAATCTGGACTCCAGGAGCATCAGCAACAACATCTCTTCATCATTCAGCAGTAAACAAAAATCTTCAATGACCCTTTCTTGAGCTCTTCTTCAACAAGTCCTTCTTGAGTGAAGATCGCTTGCACTGTTCCTTGGGGTTCTGAATAGCTTTACCAGGAAAGTTGTCCTTGCTTTGTAGCAGCAGCAACAGAAGAAGCATGTTTCCAGAGAGTAAACCCTTGTGTTGAGGATCTCAATCTTAGAGTTATTTCAGCTAGCTTCTTGCTTATCTCCATACCACCATCAGCTTGCCCTTGAAGAGCTGCTTTCAAGCATGCTTTGAGCTCATTTCTTGTTTGAGGTGCAGGCTGGGCGTTTGAGGTGAAGCCAGTTGGTACATTGCTGTTGTCCAGGGAAAGTCCCTTGTGGTCCTTGGTAATTCTTTCTGACCATACCCATTGTTGTGGAGGCTGACTCGATCGAGCCTGTTGCTGCGGAGGTAGACTTGGTCCTGAGGGTTAGCAACATCAGTGTTGCTGTATGACATGGTAGGGTTGGACTTGTAGTTATAGTATCCTTTGTTGTAACCTCCTTGCCCATTGCTCATGTAGCACACTTCAGCAAATTGATTATCCTCCCCTTCTTGGACTGGTTCCATCTCTTCAGCAGACACAAAGTTGACTTCTTCATTGTGGACTGAGCTAGGATAGCTTATCCAACTTCTCATTCAATGCCTTAACATCTTTTCTCAACTTTTCGTCTGACTCGATCGAGTGGTGGGTCGAGCTCCGGTTGGTGCGATCATACTCTTCTCCATAGCTTCCATTTGAGTTAGCTATGTTCTCCACAAGTTGCCAGCCATCATCTACATCTGGTTGAGGAAGTTCCCATTGCTAGCTGTGTCTAGCATCTCCCTATACCTTAGGCAAGCATCCTCTATAAAGAGTGGAGAGGCATTGACTGTGTATCCCTTGAATCTCTCCCAAGCCTCGCAATGTCTCATTGTTCGCTGGATGAAGCTGGATATCTCTCCTCTAAGCTTGGCTGTGCGACCGGTGGAGAAAAACTTAGCAAGAAAGGCCTTCTTGCATTCATCCCAAGTGGTGATTGTGCCATGGGGCAAGCTCTTCTCCCATTGGTGAGCTTTGTCAGCTAGAGACATAGGAAAGAGTCTCAGCTTGATGGCATCTTCAGAGACACCATTGATCTTTGTCAAATCACAAAGCCTATCAAACTCATCAAGGTGGTCAATGGGGTCTTCACTTGGCAATCCATGGAACATCTTGTTCTGGACAAGGTTGATCATTCCCAGCTTGATCTCAAAGTTGTGGTTCTGCACTGGTGGTGGAACAATCCCTTGTCTCTGTTGGTGGCGGTTTGGAGCATCTCCTTGACCAATCGGTCGAGTTTGCCTAGCTCGACCGAGTCCATTCCCAAAGGGTTTCCATTCCCCTCTGGTACATCCATTGTATCAGCAACAAGCACCTCAGGTTCCTCTTGTACCCTCTGTGACCTCTGAACCCTCTTTCTACCCGTTGTAAAGTCTAGCTCGACCAAGTCCTCTGTAGACCGACTCGATCGAGTTCGCATACACCTGCAAAAAGAGACAAAAACCCAGCAGTACAATAGAACAGGGGTGGTATAGCTTGATCGTCCAAGTATGTTTGAAACTCAAATGCAACAAAAATATTCCCAAATCGGCAACGGCGCCAAATTGATGATAGGATTTTTGTGTGTGTGATGTGAAATGATATGAAATGAGGTGGAATGCAACAGTGGTATAAAGATGAGGTGGTAAGTGCAAACACAATCAATCAATTCCTCTTAACCATCATAGTCATTGTAGTATAAGAGGTTATCAATCCAAAATGGGAAACTTGTCACTCTATGAGAATATGAAACAACCAGAAGTCAAGCAAGCAGTAATAGATTTGAAGTAACACTAACAACCTAAAAAAGAAATGAAAGTGCAATAAAAGTAAACAAAGCAGTGAAGTAGCAGCTCGACCAAGACTCGAGTCGAGTAGACAAAGTACCAGCTCGATCGAGTTTAGGGACGAGTTGAGACAAACAAAGCTAAAGGTGACGACTTTAACAAATAGAGAGAATTAGGGTTCAAGACAGGGTTTTGCAATCAAAGGAATCTACACTTAATCAATCTAGCTCTTAAAACTCCTTGTATCAAGGCTTCTCTTGATATTGGGCTTCTCAATGCCTAGCCAACCCTTTCCCAAGGTGAGGCTATCAACCAAGGAATGATCTCAGAAACAGGGGGTTAGCCAGTGAGAATCAAACCTTGGAGGCTATAGGATCATTGCCCAAACTAATCCATCCAACCCCTTAGACCTCTATTGTCTAGAGCAAGAGATATTGGAGCTCTTAGTGGATCTTTTCCAGCGAATGCCATCACTTTCGTGTGGGGATCGCCTAAGGACTTACAAGCCAGGGGTAGTGGTCATGTAGCCTTAAGATCTATCCAAAAGAGAGAGAATCTAGATTAAGACCATAAGCTAGAAGGATTAAGCATATGAAACCTCTAATCTATCCCATCTCAAACCCTAATGGGTAACTACTCACTACACATGAATGTAAACACAAGCAAATGCAATAAAAGAGACATCATAAGAAAGAGGAGATGAAATTAAACAACTTTTATTGAAATAAGCAAGTGCAAATACAAAGAGAGATTATCCAGGATCTAGGATTCAAGAAGCAAGAGCTTCAAGAACACAAAGATGGGATTAGATCTCTAAAAAGTAAAAGACAATAAATTAAAAGAAACTAAAACAAAATAATCTAAAGCTTGGTGGTTTTTTCGTGGCTTAGAGCCTTTAAATACAAAGAGGATTAGGTTTAGGGTCAAAGGAAAGTCAAGGGGGAAGCAACATTTTTCGGGTTTGACTGTTGACTTCTCAGCTCGATCGAGTTGAAGCTTGGCCGGTCGAGTTGAGGAACTCGACCGGTTGGTCGAGTAGACGGTCGAGCTGGTCTTCAAGATGGCTTCTCCCTTCTTCCTTTGCGTATCCAGTTGAGCTGCTTCCATGTGCCAAGTCCCTCCATGCTCCTTATGTCCATATGCTCCAGAATGCTCCAAAAGACCTATTTCAAAGGACCAAACATGCATATGTATGCAAATGCAACCTAAAACTAACATGAATGCATAAGAAGAGAAAAGGAACAAGATATGATGCAAATGGAAGCTAAAACTATGCAAAAGATGCATAAAAGATGTGCTAAAACTATGTAAAATGCAAGTACATCAACACCCCCAAACTTGAGATCCTTTGCTTGAGCGTTTTTGCATAGGCCTGAGAGGACTTCTCCACAGAGAATGAAGATGAACGGGGAGAGTGGGTCTCCTTGTCTGATGCCTCTTTGGGGGATCACCAACCCCTGAGCTGCTCCATTGACCAAAAAGGAGTAGGAGACAGTTGAGATACATTGAAAGTTCCAATTGATCCACTTGCCATGAAATCCCATTCTTTCCAAAACCGCTGCAATGAAATCCCATTCCAATCTGTCGTATGCCTTGCTCATATCAGTCTTCACGGCCGTGGAGCAGTCCTTCGTTGCTCCAGATCTTTTCAGGTAATGCAATGTTTCGTGAGTTATCAATACATTGTCTGAAATGGCTCTTTCTGGAACAAAAGCAGTTTGTGTCTCTGAAATGATTGATGAACGTAGGGGTTATAGGCGTCTTATTAAGAAGATTTGCTATAGGCCTATAGGGAGGACTAGAATATTTGCTATAGGCCTATAGTGTGCTATCGTCTTAGGGCTTTGGCTCTTGGGAATAAGTCTGATATGTGTACTGTTGATGGAGCTTGTAAGAATTCCGGTTGAGAAGATTTCTCTTATTTCGTCTTAGGGCTTTGGCTCTTGGGAATAAGTCTGAAATCTTTTTACCAACAACTGACCAGTTTGTTTAAAAAACTTGCAGAGAAACCATCTGGCCCTGGAGCTTTATCATGATGAATGGAGAACAATGCGAGTTTGACTTCTTCCGTTGTAGGGTCTGCGATCAAAGCCTCGTTGGTTTCAGGCGAGATACAAGGGTTAGTAGCTTGGGAGATTGTTTCCCGGCAGCTTGATGATCGTGTGATGAACAGATCCTTGAAGTAGGTATTGATAACTTGTACGATTTCTCCTTCTTCGAATACAGATTCTCCTTCTTTATTCTCGATAATTGAAAACTTGTTTATCGCTCTTCTTCCTCTAGTTATAGCGTGGAAATAACCCGAGTTTTTGTCTCCAAATGACAACCACAAAGTCCTGCTTCTTTGCTTCCAGTAGACCTTCTCCTTCTGGTAAGCTGCTTTCAGGTTTTTATTGATGGCATCAATTCTGTTTTGGTCTTGAGCCGGTGAACTCATTGCTTCCTCAAGCTTTTCTTTCTCTTGTTTGATAGATAGCTGACTGTTGATGTGGTGTTCTCTATTCCATCGAGATATCGCTTTCCTAACATTGGCTATTCTACCTTCAACTGATTCTCAAGGATAGTTATTCCAGGTTTCCTCCACCAGGTTAGTGATTTCCGGGTTATTTCGGAGACTCCTGTCATATCTGAAAGATCTTTTTTTCTTTTTCACATTTGGTTCCAAGATTGAGAGCAGAGGTCTATGATCTGAGCCTTCGAACTCTAAATAGTAACATCGACTTAAAGGGAACCGCTCAGCCCATATGCTGTTTGAGAACTTTCTGTCCAGGCGACAGTTAATCAGGTGCGCATATCTAACTCCTCTCCGTGACAAGCTATTACCGGAATGTCGCATGTCATAAAGGTCACACTGTGATATGAAGACTCTGAATTCACCAAAGGAGCCCTCTGATCTTGCAGGCCCACCCGTTGTTTCGTTGTTCTCCACAATATAATTAAAATCGCCAGTCAGAAATCAAGGCTCATCACGTGAGAGTGTGAGATTTATGAGATCATTCCATATAACTTTCCTCTATGAATGATCAGGCTCTCCATACACAAAAGTAGCTAGAAAGGTAATATTTTTGTAGACTATTGAATTATCTATGTAGTTGTTACAAGAACTTAAGAAAGTTAGATCAACTTATTTTTTCCAATATAGGGCTAAACCTCCTCCTCCAGGGCTATGAGGTGGAACCAGGAAACGAGACTCATAATCAAGGAATGGTAGGAGCTTTGTGATAGACTCCTCAGTGTTCTTTGTTTCCATTAGGAAAATTATCCGCAGCATGGTTCCTCTTTAGCTCCTTCAGTCTGTGGACTGTTATGGGATTTCCCAAACCATAACAGTTTAACTCAGGATTGAGGAGGAACGATTGGTTGAGTGGTTGGGATGATCGGTGTAGTTGTTGATTCTTCTGGGTTTGTGCCTCTTGCCGATGCTGATCCTCTCTGTCGTGTTGCTCTACTGTTGCGTCTGGTGTCGTGGTTATGTGTGATCGGAGTTAGATGGTTTTGGGTTGTTCTGGACAGAGGAGAGATGCCTTTGATGTTTGGTTTTCCTCTTACTAGGGCCAGCTTCGTTCAGTTGATTCTTCTTCGACTGTAGTGGGTTTATTGGTGGTCGTCCATGCTTCTTTTTGGTTTTTCCAAGGATTAACTCTCTCTCTGGGTTACCCGAGTGGTGGGTTTCGGCTACAGTCTCTTCAAGAGGTATGACTTGGGAGTTTCTTTGTCCCGTCCTGGTTGGTTGAAGATTTGGTGAGTTACACAACATAAAGGTAAGGGTTTCCTCCATTAAACCTCTGGAGTCACTCTCAATCACTCTTTGTCTTCTAGCTGCGCTTTCAATGGGATCCTCACAGTTAATGTACCGAATAGTAACATCTTGTAGGTCCTGCATAATTTCCTCAGCTGATTGGACTCTTTGTGGTGGTCCAGGTGGGAGCTGGAGGCTAGAGATATTTTACTGGTTCTGCCTGGATGGTTGAGGGTTGATGGGTTGCTGATCCTTCATCCCTGACGGGTGGTGTTTGTGGTGTTCTCCTTCTCCAAACTTGATGTGGAGGTGATCTGTACGTCGGATGTTCTGATAGCCTTTGTTGGTTTGGTAGTGAAATCTCTGGGAGGAGACGTCTTGAGCTTACATGATATTTTTGTGGGGATCTAGGTCTTTCCCTTTGGTATTACTGAGAGATTGCAGTGGTTCGGTTATGGTCGCTACCAGATGTGGGTTTGGGAACTAGAGATGTTTCAGGCCTTCTTTCAGAGGTGCGCTCTCCATAGTAGTTTCCATGTCTGTCCCGGCGCTGAGTGTACGGTTCAGGTCTTCTTTCAGAGATGCGTTCACCATAAGATTTAGCCCTAGTTTCCCAAGTAGGTAGATTTTGGGATTTCACGTAGTTTGGTTTATTTTGAGCTGAGGGTCTCTTTCTTTGGTTGATGTTCAGATCTGCTGGATTTAGAGGACAAGTCTCTGCTTCATGAGATAGTCTCGCGCAGATGGAGTAGTGCTTTCCGATTTTAATATATTCCAAGGTGACAAGAGCTTATTTGCCTCACTCAAATTCAACAATAGCTTCGTTTAGTAGAGGTTTTAAACCGTTTACCTCCACATTGATTTTTGCAGCGGCGTGGGTGAGCTCATAGTCGAGGTATTTCCCTGTTCCTTCTCTAATGCTGACGAGCAGTTCGTTTTTTCCAGTGTGCAGGGAAATTCCGGTGAGCTTGATCCAGAATGGAATCTAGGATGGGAAGCTTGCTGCGATGCTTTGTTCCCATTTCTGGAGGATGAGCATCCATCTGGAATATTGATAAGGTCTGTTGTCTAGCACTTTTTTGAGATCTTCTTCAAAGTCGAATCGGAACTGGAAACGGTTGTTCCCCAGGTCAGACCCTATGGCTTTTCCCCGTAGTTCCCACTTCTTGGAGATGAAAGGTATCATAGACCAGAGTCTCTGTTCGCTTGGGTTGGTGAGACATCCAATGAGTGTGAGAGCATTCTCCTTTTCTAGATCTGACGTGTTAACCGGAGGAGCTCTGATACGTTTGAGTGGAGGCAGGGAGGGTGATACAGCGAGCTCTTTGCCTTTCTCTGCATACGTAAAGCGTCTCGCCATGTTGAGAGTTGGTGTTTAGGGATGTTTAGTGATGGGAAATCGCTTGAAAACGTCCACTAAGAGCTCCAATAAACCTTGCTCTCGAAATGGAGTTCATAGGTGTTGGATGGATTAGTTTGAGCAATGATCCTACTGCCTCCAAGGCTTGACTCTCACTGGCTAACCCCCTGTTTCTGAGATCATGTCTTGGATGATAGCTTTCACCTTGGGAAAGGGCTAGCTAGGCATTGAGAAGCTCAATATCAAGAGATACCTTGATTCAAGTTGTTTGAAGAGAAAGCTTGATTAAGTATAGTCTTCCCCTAGTTGTAAGACCCTGTCTTAGACCCTAATATTCGCATTAGCTTGTTAAAGTTCCTGCCTTTATCGCTTTTTACTCTAACTCGACCCCCAACTCGACCGAGCTTGGTTACTCTGTTCCCACTCAATCGAGTCCTTGGTCGAGCTGCTTGCTTTACTGCTTTCCTTTACTTTATTGCATTGCATTTCATTTCCTTAGGTTGTTTAGTCGTTACATTCCCCCTTTTAATCATTTGGCTTGACTTTCTTGTGTTTACATAAGTTCATAGGGTAACAATTTCACCCTTATGGACTGATACCCCTTATACTTCAATGACTATGATGGTTAAGGGGAATTGATTGATTGTGATTGTGTTTTGCACCATACCATCTCATCTTCATATACCACTGTTGCATTCCACCTCATTTATATTTCATATCATATCATCACATCACACACTGAAAATTCTATCATCACTCACTGATAGTGAGTCAGGTTTACCAAACTCTTAGACCTCTGCAAGTGCACAGATCGCGGAAGTATGGGTATCGAACCTTTTTAGATAGAAAACCTGCCAAAAACCATTAGAAAACAACTAAAACAGTATAAAAAGCATGTAAAATAGAGGTATATCAACTCCCCCAGACTTAGATCTTTGCTTGTCCCCAAGCAAAAAGAATCTAAATCCGTGAAAGAGGTTTGAAAACGTGGAAACTCCCTTGCTCTTTTGAATATCCTGTGAAAGGTTCCTTTCCTGTATTCCACTAAGAACATAGACAACATAAGGTTAGCTTCACATACACCCTGCAAGTTTAGCGAACAATACCAACCCAACTAGTCTCATCCAGCAATCCAAACTCTCTATTGCTAACCTCTTGCATAAATTTAAAGCGTGAGTTCTTTATCAAGGGAACATCGATCAATTGAACTTGTTCTTACCCACTTGATCTTCTCCAAGATTGTCTTTGAAGTGCAATGAGTTCTTTTCCTCTCTCTTTCTCACATCAGAACTTTGAAAGGTCAATTTCTCCCTACTTTTCTAGGGTATCATTTTATTTTTTCTATTGACCCTTCTTTCAACCACAGGATAAGTCTTTAGCTTGTTCCTTGTTTGACTAAGGTATTCCATAAGACATGAAGGTACAGACATATGCATTCCTCATGCTTACTTGTTTTCCTTGTGCTCTTTGAGCTTTTTCTCATAAATATTTCTTACCATTTGGGATGGGAGAGAGAGGAGAACTCTTTAAAGTTAGACAAATCTTATTGAAAATCAAGCAAGGAACTGTCGACATGTATGCCAATCCCCTTGACAAGAGTTATTAAGATTGATTAAGGGTGAGGTTAACTCTAGATTGCTTGGTTACCTTAGAAATTTTGCTGAGCTAGCATGTCGATCCACTGTAAGAGCTTCTGTTAGGCTTGTGCCTTTAGCTGATTCTGCTCTAGGGTCATGGATTGTTAGCACAACACTCTCAATTCTCAAAGCAAGTTCATAACTTCCGGACTGGTTTTTGACTCAATAAAACAAAAACATGAAACAAAGTAATAAAACATAAGAAAAGAAAGAAAAATGCATTAGTAACACAATAAAACTCCCCCCAGACTTAACTTGCACCGTCCCGGTGAAAGCAAATCACATTAAGGTGAGAGGTAATATTCAAAGTAAAAGAAAAATAAAGAGAAATTCATTAAAATGAGATAGGGATAGAAAATGGAGATTTGTAAGTGTCCATTGCACTAAGTACCACTTGAGATGACTATGTGTGGCAGTGAGAAGAACTCTCTTCCTCATCTATGGGGTCATCGCCTTCTGAACCAAGCTCTGAGTCTAGTGAGAACTCACCAAGGTCAGGCTCATATGGCTCTCTAGCGGTGGAAGAAGGGCGAAAGAGTCTCTCCGGTGCAATGTGGCGAACTACACGAACTAGGCGTGAGATGAAGCGAGATTGGCACTCCACAATCTTCTCCAGCTTGCTCACACGGTCTAGAGCTTGGTTCGCGGCCATGCCAGTGTGAGAACATGGCGTTCTTGGTGGCGGCGTTGAGCTTGACTGTGCGCTGAAGTGTGCGATAGGTGGATGGGGAATGATGGTTTCTCACTTGATGGGATGTAGAAGTCTTCCTCCTTGGGTTGGTGATATACCTCTATTTTACCTACTTTTTATGCTATTTTACTATGGTTTTCTAATGGTTTTCTAGTGGATTCTTGTGTTAAAAGGTAGTTTTTATGGATTTATAGTGCAAAGAGTCATTTTAGGTAAAAAGGTGCATTATGGAGCAAAACAGAGATTTGGACTCTAAACCAGTTCAATGCCCCTGCATCAACTTTGGATGGAGCTAGAAAAAGATCTACTCAATGGATTTCATCAAGACCAGTTCCCTGCGTGCTCTGATTGAGTTAACTTTCCAACGCAACTGGAACGGCCATTTGGATGAGTAGAAAAGGAGTTATAGCCAAAAGAGTGAAGGCTGCTCCAGACGGCCATATCGAGAATCAGCGCCGAACGCGCAGTCCGGCTGGCCGAGGAACGAATGTTCCGCGCTCGGCCAAAACCGTATCCGTCCGACTGAAGTCTCGGCCAAAGTTCCAACCACTCGGCCGATCACACAGCACGACCCGGGAAACTTAAGCCCGCGGTCGGCCACGCCACGCCACAACCGCGCACGACCAAAGCGCGCGAGCCGGGAAACGCCTCGCGGCCGCGCAACTCCTCACGTACCGCGATGCATCCGTCCGAGCCGGGAAACTATGCCCGCGTCCGGCCGAGAAACCATCGGCCAAATTCTATCCGCCCGACCACACCGGCCGACCGATAACATCCGGCCCGACCGTTCCGACTCGGCCAAAGACCCGACTGTCCGGCCGACCGTCCCAATCCGCACAATTCAAGCCCAAAGCCGGCGCCGACCTAGCTAGATTAGGTTTAGCCGCCTTTCATACTTAGAGCATTATAAATACTTCTTTTTAGCCTTGTAACTCAAGAAGGAGAGAGACCACAATCTATTTTACATCTTAATAAAGTTTTGCTTGCTTTTACTTTGTTCTTGCTTGTTACTCTTTCTAGAGAGGATTCGAATCTCTGTTCTTATGAATATGAATTCGATTTCCTTCTCTATGTCTGAGTAGTTTACTTGTTAAGTGATAGGAAGTCAAAGGATAGCATTCATGTATGCTTGATGATTGATCACAATTAGGGTTTTACTTATAATCTCCATCTTTGCTTATACTTAATGCTTGTTGTTAATCTGGCCAATTAGCATATGCCTTTAGGTTGATTTGAGCCTCGACAGTGCTGTATCATTCGCCTGAACTAGTATTTGGTGGGCAATCTCTTTTAGACTGCGACAGTTGATCTACTTGTAGGTTGTGAACAATTGATCTTGATCGAACTAATGCTTGATTTAATCACCTAGGGACATACCAAAAGTTTAGCGACTAGGTAGATTAACAAAGGGGTCGGAGCCTCGACAGTGGAATGATCATACCATAGTGTTTCAAGTTCTAGATTAGCACCTAAGTGCGGTAACCCTAATTGATTGATTTCATGCTTCTTGAATTGCTTATCTCAAGACTATCCTATTGCTTAGCCTTTCTCTCCTATTGAATTCTCACTTTCTTATTACTTGCATGCTTTACTTTCTCTGCACTCAACCAACTTATACTTTTGCCCTAGCTTGTTCTCAAACTCATAACTTGTAGTGTGCAATCTGGTCCTCGTGTTCGATACCCGTTTACTACTTCTGACCTGTGCACTTGCAGAATCAGGGATAGGAAAGGGGACCTGATCCGCCGATCAGTTGGAAACTGACAACACCAGAGCGTAGGCTTGGGATATCCTCATGTGGCAACAAGACAAGCGAAGTGTTGGTTGGTCCAATTGGAAACTTATAGCAAAACTTAGTTGGGTTTTGAGTCCAACGGTTTAGGAAGTGTATTTGCTGAAGAGCATGGAGATCCAAAGGGATTGGCTTGGGTAGTGGCTCATAGTTAGGAATGGCAAGTCCCACATGTTGCACTATGGCCGTGATGAGTCTCCCAAAGCGCACACAAAGCTTGTTGTTGCTTTCCAAGTCTTGAGCTAGATGCGTCACATTGATGAGTGTCTTTGCAAACAAAAGGCCAAGGTTGGCCTTGTACTTATTCTTGATGAATGGTGTGGTGAGGATGTAGAACTCATCAGTTGTGACCTTGTTGGCTTCTTGTTTGCATTGAAATGTGGTGGAGATGAGGCGATGCACATAGCGAATGGCTGGATGAGTGATTCTAGACACCTTTGATCTTGAAGGCAAGAATGGTTCATTGGCAAAGTGTGTCCAATCATTAAAGGCAGCTTGCTTCCTCTTTGAGTTCTCCTTGAAATCATGGGCTGTCTCATTTGGAAGTCCAAAGAGTTGGCATAGAGCTGAGATGGAGATGCGCCCATTGGTGTTGCCTATCTTGAAGAATAGGAGTCCATCACCAGCTGGTTGGTCTTCATTGTTGTTGGGGAAGGCTAGAGCTACTGTGGAGAGGAACTCCTTGGTGAGCAATGAGTACTCGCTGCACTCTATCTTGAAGAGCTTGCTCAAGCCAAGCTTCCTTAGATACCATGTGACATCATCTCTTATCTTGAGAAGATCAAGGGTTGGAGTGTCTATCTTCACACAAGGTTCGATGCCTACTCTCTCCATTGCCTTCTTGTATTTCCTTGGGTCTTGGACTTGTTCTCCCACAAAACTTACAAGTGCCCAATCATCTTCTCTTGTTGGACTCTTGATGTACTTGCATTTTACATAGTTTTAGGACATCTTTTATGCATCTTTTGCATAGTTTTAGCATCCATTAGCATCATATCTTGTTCCCTTTCCCTTCTTGTGCATTCATAGTAGTTTTAGGTTGCATTTGCATACATATGCATGTTTGGTCCTTTGAAATAGGTCTTTTGGAGCATTTTGGAGCATATGGGACGTGAGGAGCAAGGAAGGACTTGGTGCATGGACGCAGCTCAACTGGATACGCAAAGGAAAAGGAGGAAGCCATCTTGAAGACCAGCTCGACCACCTACTCGACCATCCGGTCGAGTTCCTCAACTCTTGTCTAGAGCAAGAGATATTGGAGCTCTTAGTGGATCTTTTCCAGCGAATGCCATCACTTTCGTGTGGGGAGTCGCCTAAGGACTTACAAGCCAGGGGTAGTGGTCATGTAGCCTTAAGATTTATCCAAAAGAGAGAGAATCTAGATTAAGACCATAAGCAAGAAGGATTAAGCATATGAAACCCCTAATCTATCCCATCTCAAACCCTAATGGGTAACTACTCACTACACATGAATGTAAACACAAGCAAATGCAATGAAGAAGACATAGTATGAAAGAGGAGATGAAGATAAACAACTTTTATTGAAATAGCAAAATGCAAATACAGAAAGATAGAGCCAAGATCTAGGATTCAAGAGCAAGAGCTCAAGAACACAAAGAGTGGCTAGGGTTTGCAAAAAGTAAAGACAATAAATTAAAAGAAAGCTAAAACAAAATAAACTAAAGCTTGGTGGTTTTTTCGTGGCTTTTAGCCTTTAAATACAAGAGGATTAGGTTTAGGGTCAAAGGAAGTCAAGGGGGAAGCAACATTTTTCGGGTTTGACTTTGACTTCTAAGCTCGATCGAGTTGAACTTGGCCGGTCGAGTAGGTGTTAGCTGGTCTTCAAGATGGCTTCCTCCTTCTTCCTTTGCGTATCCAGTTGAGCTGCGTCCATGCACCAAGTCCTTCCTTGCTCCTCACGTCCCATATGCTCCAAAATGCTCCAAAAGACCTATTTCAAAGGACCAAACATGCATATGTATGCAAATGCAACCTAAAACTACATGAATGCATAAGAAGAGAAAAGGAACAAGATATGATGCTAATGGATGCTAAAACTATGCAAAAGATGCATAAAAGATGTACTAAAACTATGTAAAATGCAAGTACATCAACACCCCCAAACTTAACCTTTGCTTGCCCTCAAGCAAAAAAAATAGAACAAGAAAGAGATGACGTTTGAAAACAAGTTGATTCAACACTTAAAAACATGTCCTCAAAAGCGATTTGCTAAATGTCCAACTTAGAGATTCTAGAATGCAACAAGGTGAGAGATATTCATTAAGATTTTAACCATGCTTATCAACATCTGATGTAGCGGAAGCTACGATAAACACAGCTCAACCTATGATTCAAAGGAATCAATCGGGACATGTCAGCTCAAACAAGGAATTCAATAGAATTCTCGCTTGGGAACTGCTTCTTGAACTCGTTGAGATCTCAATAGATCTACCGAAAACAAGGACAGAGAATACTCTTCTCTCAAAGCCTAAGCTTTTTTATTAATAATCAACAACTTCATAATACAAAAGCCTAAACGGCTATATATAAGAAAACCATAGAACCCTAAAATAATAATAATAATTAATTTAAATGATAAAATAATTAATATAAATATTTGGAATATTTCCAATTATCTTCCTGCATCAACATCAATCCCACTTCACAGTCACTCAAACAATGCATTCAAATCAGCAAATCCCTTTAACATTCATTAAGTAAAAACAGTGAACCAAAAACAGTAAAGCAAGTAGCTCGACCAAGGACTCGAGTCGAGTGGAACAGAGTACCAGCTCGATCGAGTTTAGGGTCGAGTTGAGAAAAAGCAATAAAGGCAGCGACTTTAACAAGCTAATGAGAGAATTAGGGTTCAAGACAGGGTTTTGCAATCAGGAATCTACACTTAATCGATCTGCTCTTAAAACTCCTTGTATCAAGGCTTCTCTTGATATTGGGCTTCTCAATGCCTAGCCAACCCTTTCCCAAGGTGAGGCTATCAACCAAGGAATGATCTCAGAAACAGGGGGTTAGCCAGTGAGAATCAAACCTTGGAGGCCATAGGATCATTGCCCAAACTAATCCATCCAACCCCTTAGACCTCTATTTCTAGAGCAAGAGATATTGGAGCTCTTAGTGGATCTTTTCCAGCGAATTTCCATCACTTCCATGTGGAGAATCGCCTAAGGACTTACAAGCCAGGGGTAGTGGTCATGTAGCCTTAAGATCTATCCAAAAGAGAGAGAATCTAGATTAAGACCATAAGCTAGAAGGATTAAGCATATGAAACCTCTAATCTATCCCATCTCAAACCCTAATGGGTAACTACTCACTACACATGAATGTAAACACAAGCAAATGCAATAAAAGAGACATCATAAGAAAGAGGAGATGAAATAAACAACTTTTATTGAAATAAGCAAGTGCAAATACAAAAAGATTATCCAGGATCTAGGATTCAAGAAGCAAGAGCTTCAAGAACACAAAGATGGGATTAGATCTCTAAAAAGTAAAAGACAATAAATTAAAGAAACTAAAACAAAATAATCTAAAGCTTGGTGGTTTTTTCGTGGCTTAGAGCCTTTAAATACAAGAGGATTAGGTTTAGGGTCAAAGGAAAGTCAAGGGGGAAGCAACATTTTTCGGGTTTGACTTTGACTTCTCAGCTCGATCGAGTTGAAGCTTGGCCGGTCGAGTTGAGGAACTGGTCGAGCTGGTCTTCAAGATGGCTTCTCCCTTCTTCCTTTGCGTATCCAGTTGAGCTGCGTCCATGCCAAGTCCCTCCATGCTCCTCATGTCCCATATGCTCCAGAATGCTCCAAAAGACCTATTTCAAAGGACCAAACATGCATATGTATGCAAATGCAACCTAAAACTACATGAATGCATAAGAAGAGAAAAGGAACAAGATATGATGCAAATGGATGCTAAAACTATGCAAAAGATGCATAAAAGATGTGCTAAAACTATGTAAAATGCAAGTACATCAACACCCCCAAACTTGAACTTTGCTTGCCCTCAAGCAAACAAATAGAACAAGAAAGAGATGAGGTTTGAAAACAGCTGATTCAACACTTAAAAACATGTCCTCAAAAGCGATTTGCTAAATGTCCAACTTAGAGATTCTAGAATGCAACAAGGTGAGAGATATTCATTAAGATTTAACCATGCTTATCAACATCAATCCCACTTCACAGTCACTCAAACAATGCATTCAAATCAGCAAATCCCTTTAACATTCATTAAGCAAAAACAGTGAACCAAAAACATGCAAGATCAATCAACTCATTTGGTTTCAAGGGTTTATGGGTTAAGAGACAAAGAGGGTCTCTTTTGTATGGTGGTTTAGTAACAGGGATCTCTCAAGAAAGTGGCTTTGCTTTGGCAGAAGGCTAAGTGTTAGAACCAAAGATGATGCAAGAACAGCAGCTCGAGCCGCCTAATCCTAACTCGATCGAGTTCAACACTTAGAGCTTTTTAGAACAAAATCCTAACTACCCTTTTTGGCATTTCGCCTTTGAAACTGAGGAGCTTTGCTCACTTTTCTTTTAAGAACTTCCTAGGGAGAGGCTTCTTGAGGTAACATCTAGCGGTTTGGGATTTTCTAAACACTTAGGGAACTTTTCTTTCTTTTTGACACTTGAGGCTTTGCCTTCTTTTCATTCTACTTAGAACCCTTTTTACTTTTTTTTAACTTCCCAAACCTTTACTAGACCCTTTTTAACACTGCCAACTCCCTGGACTTAACTAAACTCTTTTTCCTTTGGGTTTTTCCCAACTTTTACCACTTTTCTGGTTTTTACACCCAACTCGATCGAGCTCGAGTTGGCACCCCCAAACTTAGCCTGAAAACAATCCCAAGAGAACTAGACAACTAGAACTACTGCTCCTTATGCTAATCCTATACAATTCTATACAACTTTTAGATTTTTTGAAAATTTTATGATTTTTTTGGTTTTTCTATGCAAAAGGATGAATGTAAAACTAAGAACAAAGAAAACAAGGTGAAATCATCTCTTGAACCCTCCCCCAAACTTAAATCACACAGTCCCTTGTGTGAGAGAAATTTAGTGAAAGATTCAAGAGGGCAAAACCAAAAAAAAACAAATGCAAGAAATATGAGATGGTATGTACAATGGTGGGTGTTTGATACCTCAGTGCCCCCCAAAGATTTGGGAGGCAAGGTCGTGGTCAGGAGAGGGTAGACGGCCGTCAGGGACACTCCACTCGACCGGGTTCACGCCGCTCGATCGAGCTTGCAGCTCGTCTTCTTCCTCTTCATCGTTGAAGTGTGTGTGGCTCCCTTGGCCTTGGTGGAGCCTGGCTAGCTCGAACTGGCCGTATGGGTTCCACCTGCTCTGGGGATACTCCTGGTAAGGTGTCGGATCGTACTCGAACCCAAGATTCTCGAATTCCGACTCCTCAAGACCGACTCGAGCATCAGCTCGATCGAGTTGAGTTTCCTCTATTTGGACTTGATCGAGTCATGTGGTCGAGTTAGAGCGTCGAGCCTTGGAACTCTTCCTCCTTCTCTGCGAGTTGTCTTCTCCTTCCCTTGGCACAAATGATGAGGCTCTGTGAGGCTCTTGGGTATGAAGCCTCCTTGGAGTGGTGAGGAGAGATCTACTCCTAGGAATGTGGGGGCCATGGTTGCCTTCTTCTTCTTGGATGAAGAACCAGAAACTTTCTTCTCCAAACTCTTGATCTTGCTCACCATCTTGTCCATGGACTTTTGCATCTTTTCAATGGCCTTCCCTTGCCATTTGTTGAACTTTTGAAGAAGTCCAATCCTCTTGTGAGCAGCCACAACAGAGGGGTTCATCCTTGGAGCTTCATATTCTTCAAAATAGTAACACTCAGGCTCACCCAGATCTTCATTCTCCTGAACTTGATCCTCAGCTCGAACCTCAGCTCGATCCTCTGCTCGATCGAGTTCAGGCTCCTCTTCTCGCAACTCATC